CACATCTCAGAAATCACACAATCAGAGCTTTTTAAAAAAAACACCCCGGCAATATTAGGAACAGCATACGTACTGTGCTGATGTTTAACAGCTATTTAGGTTTGTGGTTAAAATGTGTATCTGTTATATAATACCAGTCAATGTTTTTATAATTTTGATTGACTTTGGTGTTTTTGAAGAAGAAGAAGAATTACAACAACACAACACTACTACTACTACTACTACTACTAATAATAATAATAAGAAGAAGAAGAAGAAGAAGAATATTAATAATACATACATACATACATACATACATACATACATACATACATACATACATACATACATACATACATACATACATACATACATACATACATACATACATACATACATTTCCCACAGGAATAAATATCTAATATTGATCTAGGATGTAAATCAGGTAAACAATCAAATCAAATTTTTGTGTTTATGTTTAACAATTTAAACAAGCATGTTCTGCTGCAGAACGAGAAAAACGGCTGCCCAGACTTTCAAATTTTTATTTCAAATTCGAGTATAACAGCCTTTTTACAGAGGAAGGTGTAGGTGTGCATGGTTTAAGAGGTTACTGCGCTGAATGTATATTTATTTATTGGATATGATGAAGTTGGCTCCAGCCCACAAAAGCTTATGCCATAGTTATTTTATTAACTTTAACATGGTTCAGAACTTATAATCAGCTTTGCTGAAACAGATGAACATAGAGTTTATATTTGGACACTGTAATATACAAACTGTTTTTACATATTTTAATTTCCATTAACATATCCCAGTAGTCAGGTGTTGTAAGGAAAATGCCTTATTAAGAGACCAATGCTTATACAGGAACATATTTTACAATATAAAATCAAATCATGCTCAGGAACCTATCATACCTCCACACAAAATCCTATTTCGATTTATCTCCAAATAGTGATCGGTGAACAGTATTTTGGAAGACAACTCAGAATCGAAGAGAAGAATCTTATTTCTGTTTGTATGTACGGTATAGGCATACTCCTTCAACCTCAACTTGTCAATCAAGTGGATGCCACCCCATATGCCCTACTGAATGGGACTGCTCCAATCTGTGACTTTGTGTTCTAAATCTCAGTAAGAAATTCCACATTAGACAACTGACTGAAGCAAGCCTTCCACAGCTCAGTATAAGGTGATTAAAACCAAGCTATCCGGGGGGAAAGAGATAATATGAAACACCAGAGGTTTTTCTGCAGTACAAAACTAAGAGCTGATATGCAAAACCAGTGACAATGTTTAAATCATATCCAAGCTTCAGAAATCCAAGCACAAATACTCTAACAATTCTGCATGCTGCAGGCAAGATGGCCTGCTATAACAGAAAGCAGGCCTAGGATTAGTTATGAAAAACAGCACTTATATCTCAAGATTACATGCACACATATGTGTATGTATGTGTGTAAACTTGAGTTAGAAATGCTTTTCTTTATGTGTCTATGTATGTGTATGAGTCTTCAGTACTATAGTATCCCTCAAAAGTTTTTTCAGGTCTCTTCTGATAACCCATATTTCTCTGCAAGGCCTTTGCCTCGGCCCCATAATCTTCGTTCACAGGCATTAACAAGTCCGTATGACTGCATTTTCCCATATTCACCACTTGCTGCTTTTCTCTCCTCTCCCCCACTCCTATTGTTTTCCTTTACCAATTTTTGATTGGAAAATATTTCTATAGGACTCTGTGATGTGCACACTGTATAATTACATAAAACAAATCTAAAACTTTGAAACATACCTGAAATAAGAAACTTATTGAAGACTAAGGATATCATTTTGTTACAGGAGAGTAGATTCCTTCTCCAAATTTCTAAGTATTTCACATTTTTATCTGCTTTAATAATTGGGGGAGGAGACACATGCAGTCTAAGGTCATCTAAATAGTGCTTTTGGGGAATGCAATTCAGGGAGAACAGTTATGGTTATTATTTTCTCTTTTGAGTTGGCTCTAGTGCCAGAAATTCTAAAGAGTATCTGGCATTATAGCCCACATTTTAAAAGGCATTGGAAAGGAGTGGGACATTGATGTCCAAGCGAACCATTTTTGCTTCCTCCATCTTCTACATACCAGCCAGACAACAGGTCTTAGAAGATCAACACAGAACAGGAGGCAAAACAGGATCTCTCTATTTGTTCTCATTTGTAACACCAGCTAACATTCCCAAGGAACATATTATGCACACACTACACTGTTTATTACAAATGCATTATCCACTCCCACATGAAAAGCAGTAATTGTGCCATCTTTCTTACCAATTCCAAATATAGCATACCATAACACTCACTGACTTGTACAAGCGTTTTAGGAGCTTTCAGAATGCAGAATGAAATGACTATCATATCAGTAGTGACACCAGTACAAAGAAGCTAATAAAAAAATAGATTCTCTGCGCCTCACTTTTATGCATGCATTTTCAGAAGTAAATTAAGCCCTAGGTAACTGTGTGCAGAACTAAAGCTATACTGTCTTCTAGCTACTATCTAGAAGAAATTGTCTAGAACAAAGCTATTCTCATTTAAGAAAGCAGGATTTACGGTGAAAATTGGCAAAATAGATTTTAAAATATATTTAACTTTTCTGTGTATGAAAAAAAATCTATGCAAAGCCTATATGCCTCCACCACTATAGTTCCCATTTAGACTTATATAATTATACTATTTAATTTATAAGGAACACAAAAGTTCCTCATAAATAAATCGTGTAATGCAGTCAATCAGTTTCTAGGAAAATACTGGCACACTGTGTTTTGGATGCTGGGCTTATTTCCATAATCATTCACAAAGAGAAGGAAACTGATTATTTCTAAAGGGATTGCTTGCATGAGTAAGGATTACTCATGCACACACATGCACAATCAAATCCTAAACACTGAGTACAGAACAACTGTAAGCATTCTGTCTCCCTTAGCTCAGGTAGAAACCTCTCCAAATTTCATGTCCCAGTGGAATTTGTATGTTTGAGAGCCAGACAGAAAGAAAGAGATCTGAGCAGCTGACTCTCAGAGGTCAATAGAGTGAGGAGGCTCAGAAGGGTAGGAGCAGTATTCCATGGCAGCTCTAGAGGAAAATATATGTGCTCTGATGGATCAACAAATAATGCAGGAAACTTTTAAAGGAGGGGGAAAGGGAACAGACTGCAAACACATTAGACTGCAATGATTCCAAAATAGGGCTAAAAAGTGTTCTGTTAGAGCAAGAGCCCAAGCCAGCTTTTTACATGAATGTATGATCATACATTCAATGGCATCAGGCATGTCCTTCAGCAGGTCATATATATATATTCACATTCTTCTGTTCAGTTACACTGCTGAGGATGTTTTTTTTTTCATACTACACAGTATAGATACGGAATGAAGTCATCTGCAGAGTTTAATCTAGAACATTCCAATGAAAACACCAGTGGGAGGTTAAGGTCAACATGACTTGTACTAATTCAGGTCACCAAGACATTTCTTCACTTAAAGGAAGTAGGTGACAAGCAGACACACTGGCAACCTTCACATCACATCGTAAGAACAGCACAGATGTGTGTCACAAATACTGTGAATCATGTGAAGTTACCAGTCATAGACCAGGAAGGTTTATAGAGAGAGTCTTTAAGTGAAAGTGGCATGAAATGAGGAGGTCTGTTAACAGCAAAACTGTTTGCATCTGAAAGACATTTGATATGTTGTCTCACACTTTCCAGTCTCATAAAATGCTCTTCTGTCTCTACCTAACAGAAGCTGTTTGTAACAGTATGCACATGAGAATAATAATATCATCAATGAAGTAGGCATAGTTGGTTGCATTGCTATAGGCTATCAATACATTGCTAATTTAGAACTAACTCCGCTAGTTATTCCTGTGTCATGAAGATTGTGTGGGTGCACCTGCAAGCCATAAAAGCCATCTCTTCTTCCTCCAGAGCAGAGCAGAAATTAAGATTTCAGACAGTATATATTTTTTTCAGAGTAAGACGTTCAGTAACCTTTACATCACTCCTAAGAATGCTACATTAAGACGTTCACACAAGATAATTTTATGTGAAGTGGGGGGGGGGGGAGAGAATGCATAAAGGCAGGGGAAGGAGTTTAAAAATAGAAACTTGATACTGCCAACATTTATACAGAAGCTCTTAACTACTGCAAACACAAAAGTGGAGCACAATTAAGTGTGTTTATTGCTACTCCGTTGTGATATGTTCAAACTTTGCACGTATTAAGAGGTCTTCGGTGAACAGTTCAGATTAAGGTATGTTCTCACGGGGCTTTTGTCTGTTTGCTGGTTTACAGGTACAGTAAGAGGTTGAGGATGGGAAATTCTTAAGTCCATCTGTGTTGTTGTTTTAAAATGTGAACTGGTAAGAGCACCTTGCCCTGGGATTTAAAACAAACAAAAACCCCAAACTTCATCCTGACACTTCGCAAACGGACTGAGATTGGGGTAGGATCCGAAGTCGCTGTTGTTTATCCCTAAATGTTTGGGAGAGCGCGGAGTTGGAGGAAGGGAGACCGCGTACCCCGAGCCGATTTCACCACCACCACCACCACCACCCCGCACGCAAAACAAACCCGCCGCCCTCAACAGGAAAAGAGCCGTGCCGGCAGAGGGCTCTGCCAGCTGCAGAAGGCACCGGCTGGCTAGCACCTGTGCCGTCACCCACTCCTATCCCATGCTTCTACAGCTGGACAGGGCTTCCAGAGGGTTTGTGCGGGAGACTTTCCCACTGAACTGAATGGCCCTCCAGATCGTTGAGCACACACAGCGAGGGAGGGATGCGGGTATTTCACATCAAGGATCAAAACACCCCCTTGGTGCCTGGATTGCAAGAGAGAGACTTGGGGGGCAGGGTGTCAGCAGCCTTTTAAACCCTTCCTGTTCACCTTCTGCAGGAGAACCTCTTACTGAACGGTGTCCCATGAGGGTCAGGTCCCTGCTCTTCCCCAGCAGAGCCCGAGGTGGGTGAGGGGCTCCTTACTTACGTGTACTGCTGGGGGAAGCTGTAGCCATCGGCGGCGGGAGTCGAGAGGACGAGGCACAGGATGATGATTTGGCTGCACAGAGCCGGGACGAGGAGGCAAGATGCGCCGCAGGTCTGAGCCGACATCGCCATTTTTCCATTAAAAATTCAGCGCCGGCACCAACTCTCTCCTTTTCCCCGGCGGCAGCGGCGACAGGGATGGTGACGGGGGGCGCTGGGCTGCCCAAACACCCTGCCTGACCCCCCCACCCCTGCTGGGGCTGGAAGCCGGCGATGGGGCTCCTTCCGCGAGGCAAGCCAGCCGGCGGGGCTGTCCTGGCTGAGCTTTCTCTCTCTCTCCCCTCCGGTTGACTTCAGAGACGCGAGAGTCCGCCTGTCGTCTAAGCAGCCCCCGTCTCCCTCCCCCCGCGCGACAGTGTCACGAGCGGGGCAGTTCTCGGGAGGCTGACGCGAAGGGACGGCTGAGGAGAGGGGTGGGGAGGAGGAGGAGGAGGAGGAGGGAGCCGGGGCAGCTCCTCTCGGGCGCCCTGCACAGCCAAGGAGGAGGAGGCGGCTGCTGCTGCTGCTGCTCGCTCGCTCCGGCCCTCACGCGGCGGGCTCAGCTCCGTCGTGCCAAACACTGAGCGAATACAAACTGCTACTTTCCCTCAAATAG